AGTTAGGTCTTCATTCATTTTTCTTCATGAAAAGTCGTTAAATTGTATCAGAGAAATGTGGAACATACATTTAACTTGCTGGATGGGATCGAGGCTTCATTTAGGAGGGTCGAAATATTGGTAGAGATTCCTCGTTCTCCCCAGTATTTGAAGAAAGTAATAGAGTTAGAAGACAGAGGTGAGGTAGGGTGAAGGCAGAGGTATTGAGAGGAGAAAAGTAAACAGATGGAACAGAAAAGATTGAGGAGAGAGGTTATGAATACCAAGATGGGTGCAAAGTGAATCATATTTAATGAGAAAAGGAAAAACCTTTTTATTATCCTTGGACAATTTGCTTAATTTGATTCAAGCCAGAAAGAACAAAAAATGATCTCATGATACTTCTCTATGTTCATATCTGAACATTGGGAGGTGTTTCAAAGATAATTAATTAAATTACGTTTCAAGACAGTTTACCAAATAAGACTAACCCCTTAGAGTAATATGGAATGCCATTTAAGCCAAAATTAAATAAATACATAAATAATTAAATAAATACATATATATATAAATATGCCTATGAAATAAATTCTGAAATAAATAAATGAGGCAATAAATATGTATACATGTACATTTAAATACACATTTATTTATTTCATGGGACTTTTATTTCATAATGACACATTCATTTATTTCAAGAGACTTGTATTTCATAATGACACATTTATTTATTTCAGGGGACTTGTATTTCATAATGACACATTTATTTATTTCAGGGGACTTGTATTTCATAATGAGACATTTATTTATTTCAGGGGACTTGTATTTCATAATGACACATTTATTTATTTCAGGGGACTTGTATTTCATAATGACACATTTATTTATTTCAGGGGACTTGTATTTCATAATGACACATTTATTTATTTCAGGGGACTTGTATTTCATAATGACACATTTATTTATTTCAGGGGACTTGTATTTCATAATGACACATTTATTTATTTCAGGGGACTTGTATTTCATAATGAGACATTTATTTATTTCAGGGGACTTGTATTTCATAATGACACATTTATTTATTTCAGGGGACTTGTATTTCATAATGACACATTTATTTATTTCAGGGGACTTGTATTTCATAATGACACATTTATTTATTTCAGGGGACTTGTATTTCATAATGACACATTTATTTATTTCAGGGGACTTGTATTTCATAATGACACATTTATTTATTTCATGGGACTTTTATTTCATAATGACACATTCATTTATTTCAAGAGACTTGTATTTCATAATGACACATTTATTTATTTCAGGGGACTTGTATTTCATAATGACACATTTCCATTTCTTATATGCAAATGAACGGGGCGTGGTTAGCTCACAGATCCAGACCAAAGCAACAGCACCGCAACACTGACTCAATAGCTCTTGTTTCACACTCAGCCTGATTTAGCTCTGGTTCTTCCTGTTTCAGCCACAGCGGAGCCGGCTCTAAACACCGAACACCGGTTCTTAGCTGACCCCACTTGGCTGCCCGGCAAGAACCAAGAACCACGCTCACGTCGGAAGGGGGCGAGATTAACCTGAGCCATAATAACAGTTTATGGCGAGTACGGAAAATGAAAGTTGTAACAAGCAGTAGCGCTGAGCAAAGTGACTAGAAGGCAACCACACACTTATAAACAAACACACTTTATAAAGTCAGGCAACACTAACCAGGCTTCATGTGATTCTGTTTATTTGTACCTTACTTTGACCATCCGTTCTCTGTCATTGATCATTGTGGAGAGCAGGCAGACGTTTTGTTTTGTATTATAGCAGCTATCAGATGGAATCAATACATGGGCTGTACAGGTTGTCATGTCCGACTATCACGTAGAATCATAATGAAAAGGTAAAATGTGCCTGTAGAAAACGGCTTATGCCACAATAGGATAGCAACAAGTAGTCAAGATAATCAGTTCAGCTTCGGTTGCTGTTGCATAACTGCGGTCAACTCAGCCGTCTCTCGCGTTCGCTTGGTCAAATCAGCAGCTATTCATTTTTGAGTGCGCAATTAATAGCGCCTTTACGGTAATCGCTGTACAAGAGTAAAATAATGCATGTTTTTTTCTGCTTTATTTGCAATACAAGTCATTTGTACCATAAGTTCTTAATAAAACTGACACTGTTTGACTCAGTCCTAGTTTGACTGCTACAATAAAATGAAGTAGGCTACTTTTACTGTGTACTTTTTGGGTAATACTCTCTCAAAGTCCCCTCCTGAGAACAAACTCATGCCACTTCTGCTATATTTGATGAGATAAAATGATTTGTATCCATAAGTTCTTAATAAAATTGGCAGTGTTGGACTCAGTACTTGTTAGACTACTACCACAAATACAATGAAGTGGCCTACTTTTATTGTGTACTTGTTGAGTAATACTCTGTCAAACTCCCTTCCAGAGTACAATCATGCATGTTTTTAGCTATCTTTGATGAGAGATAAAATGATATTTTGCCATAAGTTCTTAATACAATTGGGACTGTTGGACTCAGTACTACTTGGACTACTCCCACAAGTACAATAAAGTATTTTTACTGTGCACTTCTTGAGTAAACCTTTGTCAAACTCCCCTCCTGAGTACAATAATTAATGTATGTATTAATGCTAGTGGATCGCCGGAGCTGTATTGGATTAACATTAACATGCTTATTGTAGTTGTAAATGCACTGCCTTGCGGCCTGTAGCACCATATGTGTGGGCTGGACCTGTATGTCCAGGAAAGGAGTGAGCAGAGGGTAGAATTGTCGATTCTTGTTCTGTTTGCTGTGACTATCTTCCTCACCCTCTCAGACTTTCAGTTGCGCGCGCTACGCTACCATGGAAACCAAACAATGGTGTAGCTGGAAACAGTCCTGAGTAAATCTGATTTTGTCAGAAATCGGGAGAAATATGACCCCGGGAGGAAACCGGGAGAGGGCAATGAAATCGGGAGTCTCCCGCGAAAATCGGGAGGGTTGGCAAGTATGATTCCATCTGATAGCTGCTATAATACAAAACAAAACTTCTGCCTGCTCTCCACAATGATCAATGACAGCGAACGGATGGTCAAAGTAAGATACAAATAAACAGAATCACACGAAGCCTGGTTAGTGTTGCCTGACTTTATAAAGCGTGTTTGTTTATAAGTGTGTGGTTGCCTTCTAGTCACTTTGCTCAGCGCTACTGCTTGTTACAACTTTCATTTTCCGTACTCGCCATACACTGTTATTATGGCTCAGGTTAATCTCGCCCCCTTCCGACGTGCCCCGTTCATTTGCATATAAGAAATGGAAATGTGTCATTATGAAATACAAGTCCCCTGAAATAAATAAATGTCTCATTATGAAATACAAGTCCCCTGAAATAAATAAATGTCTCATTATGAAATACAAGTCCCCTGAAATAAATAAATGTGTCATTATGAAATACAAGTCCCCTGAAATAAATAAATGTCTCATTATGAAATACAAGTCCCCTGAAATAAATAAATGTCTCATTATGAAATACAAGTCCCCTGAAATAAATAAATGTGTCATTATGAAATAAAAGTCTCTTGAAATAAATAAATGTGTCATTATGAAATAAAAGTCCCATGAAATAAATAAATGTGTATTTAAATGTACATGTATACATATTTATTGCCTCATTTATTTATTTCAGAATGTATTTCATAGGCATATTTATATATATATGTATTTATTTAATTATTTATGTATTTATTTATTTATTTAATTTTGGCTTAAATGGCATTCCATACACCATAGCCTCGCAAGCATAAGAAAACAAAATGGACTGAGGGATAGAGAAAACAAAATTAAATAAAAACACTCTAATCCCTCGTCACAATAGACACACCTCCCGCGCTCGGGCACGAGCGTTGTTCAAGGAGTCCACAGAGCGGGGAGGAGGGAGGGAGAAGACGGGAGTCCGCAGCTCTCTCCCGGCAGATCAGACGAGCGCCGATCGGGGATGCAACGGGTCAAACGGCACCAAGTGTAACCGGTGTGGTTAAGCGGTCTCTGCGTTGTGTTGATATGGACGAGACCCGAGCCAGCGTAAAGTTGAGACGATCTGTTTAATGACTGACAGATAAAAACGATCAGTTTTACAACAGTTTCCCTCAGTGACTCCTCTCACGTGCAACGTTTACAAAAAAGGGCCGAGGAAACGGGAGGGACACCATAGCCTCGTCTCAATACCCCTCCTCGACTCCTCCTTTCCCTCACTCGCGTCCCTTCCTTGCGTCTTAGCTCCGCCTCCGTAAGATGCGAGCGAGAGACACGAGGAGGAGACGCGAGGACAGAGGAGTCCTCAGGTATTAATTGGGATGTCCTCGTTCACTCACACGTCACTCTTAAACGACGTCTGTTAATGATGACATGTGCACAGCTGTATCCCCTCTCATCGGGCTTAACTGAATAACCTTTAGAACCTTTAGAACCTTTAGAACCGGCCCATTTATTGTTAAATATATATTTAAATGATGAATCTGTCTCTTTTTAGTCAAGGAATTCAATGTATGATGGTTGGTCCTGCTTTTGTGTTCCGTTTTGGTGTAAAATGTACATTTCAATAAAATTATAATTATAATAATGTGAAAGCCTTTACTCTGAACATGTGTGTCCTGTAGATCCCCACATTCACCACAAACCCACATTCAGGACTGTGCATTTTAAATAATTTAACTCCTGAATATCTTAACACAAAACAAAACAAATAATTTGTATTTATCAAGATCTAGACATTTATGAAATAGCTTTCTTAATAGCTATGTTTTAGTGGCGTTCAAGATCATTAAACATGACTTAAATTGTTAGTATAACCTTAAGAAATGAATTGCACATAATAATTCCCACGGAGCTGTGAGCACTTAGACATTTATGTGACGCTTTTCCACTCATTCTTCCAGTTCTCCGTTTTCCTGTGTTGAAAACGACAAGCAGGCAACACACTACCTTTCTCTCATTTAATGCCTTCTGTGTTTCAGATATGGAAACGTTTTGGATTACAGTCGACCCAATGGAAAGGAAGATGCGCCTTTAAACCTGAACAAGAGTTCAGCCTATCAGGAGCCTTCAAGAACCGCTTCTGCCAAACAACATTACCTGAGGCAGTCAAGATATTTACCTGGTAATATATATTTAAAGACTTCCCTCAAATAAACATCAACTGTGTCAACAAGTGCTTTACACCCAACTCGTTTCAGTTAGATTCAAAATAGCTCCTTTGCTTTGGTACCATTGTACTGTTAAAGTAATGCAGACCAAAGAATATTGTGACATTAAATATATGATTATTGCAGGATTTAAAAAAAACTACAATTCAATTCTGATTGAGATCTGTTAAGGAAGCAATCTTAAATGCAGTCTTTACAAATGTGCACAGTATATATCACTACAAAAGAGTTGGTAACCTTAAAAAGCATAAAGCTAGATTGGAATTTGTTTGTCTCTTTCTATTTATAATTCTTCTTGTAAAATGTGTGTGATAATCTCTTACTGTCTTTTTCAGGTATTAGCACAACAAAGAACGTAGCCATAAATGCCAGTAAAGACTTTGCAGGAAGCCATCTTTGGGGCAACAGCAGTATTCCATTTGGAGGGACTCTGCCGAGCAGAGGCGCTCACGGTAATGTCCCAGGACCTCCTGCACTTTACTGCATGGGAATCATTGCAACTTCACTAAGTTCTAATGAAATGATCTGTTTTTGTTTGTTGTAAATACCAGGTACCAATACAATCCCAGGGGGATACATGCCATCGTTTTACAAAAAAGACACGGGATCTGCGGGTCACAGAGGACCTCAGGGTCCTTCAGTGGAATCAACAGCATCAAGTGAGGACACATTTCATCACTTAGAGCTTTCTGCTATAGAGTGCTGCAGGAATGAGTCCTAAAACCCATCTAAGACCCGTCTTAACAAAGGTTCACAAGTGGCGTAATAAGACTACATCGATTTTCAGGGACAATTAAACGCAATCACACCAAACTTGGGAAACTCATGTTCTCGCTAGCCTGCGTTTACAGCCAGGTTATTCGTATACTCTCAAATATTGTAACTCACAAGCTAGATCAAGCTTTGGTAAAAGAGGCGAGCTCTAAAAATCAATGAAGTTGGAAGCGTAGTAGTGATGTTGGCAGTCATGCGATCGGGGTGTAGTTTGTTTATAGGTTTGAGATTTTCATTAAGATGATCTTCTTGTTGAACAAAGTAAGTAAGTAACCTTTCCTTGCCCCAGACATATTTTCTGATTTAAAACAAAAATGGAAAAAAAAATCCCTTTGGCTTTTTTGTGATGCTTCCAGTTTGGCCTACACAACATCATCCCTGCAGCCCTTTACATTCAGCTTTCTTTGTGTCACGTTTTCAGTGCCCTGCCACCTAACATTGCCTTTTTTTTACATTTGATTTAACCTGTTGTTTTGATGCCGTTTTAGATTATGCAACATGGCAGTCTGGCCGGAGTCCGATGAACACCTCCACCAACGTGCCGTCACCCAACAAGAGCACCCCCGGTCTGCTGCCTCGCCCACCGACACAAACCATCCACGGGCGAACGGATTGGTCTGCCAAATATGGACACCGCTAGTGCCCTCACTTCAAACTCTTTCACCTCCAAAGAGTAGGCCTAGTTGTTTTATAATATAAGTCTGTACATACATCTTACACAGCAATAACTTTTAATGTTTTTCATTATGTGTACTATGAATGTTGTGAGATGTAAAAATATCTATATGTATATTTAAATGCAAGCGGCCAAAGTTTGGGCCCAGATTTGCTCCTCAGTGTTTCATTTTGTATTTCTGTATTAAAGCTACAGAGGTCACAACTTCAGTTGTGTATCAGATGTATCATTGAATGTTCACCAACCTGTATACATAATATGCATATTATAATTGTATGGAAACTTCACTGTGACCTGTATTTGGCTGCAACTAATTACTTTGCCTTTGTACAGTTTGGTGTGTTTTCCTTTTTCCCTGCTGTTTTTTTATGACGGTAGCCTTGTCAATCAGGTTACTATTATTTGTGCATTATATGTTTTTAATAAAATGTAATGCCTTGCTCTATTTTCAATTAAACAATGCAAATGGTTGCCACAATGTACAATTCAGTTTTATTTCTGAATTAAAATGATCCAAGACAACACGTTATACCCCCTTGGCCAAAGTGAGTGTGATTATTGAATTGCCTGTTATTGAATATAATTAAACTGTTGACTGGGAACCCATATGTCCAACTTGTGCATTTTTTCACGGTACCATGAAAGTGAATGTTTTTATTTAATTAATTAATATGTTGTACTAGATGACATATCTGGCCATTTTCCATGTCCAGCTGCTGAGCATTCCAGCCCGGGTATATTCTGGCCCGCTGTATTAATCTGATGGAGATTAACCCCTCAGAAGTAGTTTACTGTTAATGCTATACTTGCATGAATGCATTGCTTCTGGTCTTCTATCGTGGGCACATCATGTAATGAATTGTATCTATCCATACTTTGGTACATAGTGTGATTGAAAGAAGGATGTTGCAATTGAATCAACTAGCAATGCATGAGGCCCTTTATGGATAACCTCGCTGCATTTGTCCTGAAGATGATGCTGGTATAAGTACATAACCCAATAATATGGTGTCAAATAAACGGTGCTGGAGATGGAAGAGGTGTGGGACATGAGGTCAAATGCTGAGATGGTACTCAGATTTTTTACTTAACTAAAAGTAGCAATACACATTTGTATCAGTACTTTGTTACAAATAAAAGCCTCAATTCAAAATCTTACTTGAGTAAAAGTACAAAAGTATCGGCATCAAAATATACTTAAAGAACCAAAAGTAGAAGTACTCCTTATCCGTAATAGCCCATTTCAGAATCATATTGAGTAACTGGGTTACTGTTATGAATATGAATGTGTTTTTATCACAGCTGGTAGATGTAGAGCTAAATGTTAAAACTGTATATATATATAAAATAATCTAAATCTCAAAAGTAACTATTAACTAAAAGCTGTCAAATAAATGTAGTGGGGTATAAATATAAAGCATAAACGGAGAATACTCAGTAAAGTACAAGCACCTCAAACTTGTACTTAACTACCGTACTTTGTTACTATCCACTCAAATGTAATTAAAAGTCATAGTAGAATATGTCCCAACAATTGTCATAATAAAGTCATTTAAAATGTAGCATAATATCAAAACAAAATGTCGTGTCATACATTTGAATCTATAAAAGTACATTATGTTTGTATTAACTGAACAGAAGAATAAATTGCAAATTTAAAAAAATTGAAAAAGTAAGGCAGACTGCCACGTGCACCGCCTCATTTGGATGTGTCTGACGCTTGGAGCTTAACTTCCCTACGTTTCTCCTACAAATGGGCCTTGAGCTTGTTTGGAGGTTCTAGCAGGGGAGCGCAGCTACTGGTACACCGAAGGATGGTCATCATCCGCCGGGGGAACCGTCCTCTTCCACCGAGCGCGGGGCTTCGGGAGGGACACACATGGAGCGATGAGGGAGGAGAAGGGGACACCCGCCTAGCCAGCCAGATCAGCCGAATAAACCCTAGCGATCAATGGGGTGACAGATGTCGCAGCCAGATCGCCCTCACATCTATATAGGAAATGGGGGGCGTGGTGTATATATAAGGGAGTAAAACACAACCGATTACTGTCACGGTGTGGAATATCGACAAAAGTGTTTATAGTTGGTATAATAGTTCGCCTTATCTCCCCATTCATGTTTATTAACTTAAAATGTACAAATACTTCAAAGTTGACGAAAATAGTCAGTAAAAGACGAGCAGTTCATATTTTTCCCATGATGTCTAGCGCCAACATGTAAATGGCCCGCGTTTTCATTGGCTCGAATCAACCAATGAAACGTCTTCAAATTTCGTTCCCACCTTAATCTTTTTTTGATTCAGCTACTTCATTATACAACGACCGATCTTAACTTGTGTTGCTCACATTTCTCCACGACAGGGCTGAGGGTGCACAGGTATGATTCAAGACCTATATACAGTCTATGTTCAAGACATTAAAACGAATTTTGGGTATCATTTTCCGGGCGTATTTGTATTTTGTATTATTAATGTGTGATACTAATTGTGTGGTTTAGAGATTAATCGATCCACTTCCGAAATACTATCGCCATGGCTGGGAAAGTTGTACTTCACTATTTCAATGGGAGAGGAAAAATGGAGTCAATCCGCTGGCTCTTGACTGTTGCAGAAGTGGAAGTAAGTAAAGGGTGTGTGGTGATATTAACATGAGAATATTATTGATTTTAAGGAACTTCAAACCTAAATATGTCATGTGATCTCTGTTTACAGTTTGATGAGGTGTTTTTGACAACTCGGGAGCAGTATCTTAAACTCCTGAGTGGTAAGTGTGTTTCCAAAATGTTGTTCAAAGTTCAAATAAACCTCCCGATTCTCTCTGGCCAATTTCCAAGTCACACATTTGAATTTACAATGAGTTTATCATGTGACTTTGACCCACTTGTGATGTAACCTGGGGTGAGCTTATCTTTGTTAAGGTGAATGATTCGAATGTTTTATGACCTGTTGACAAAGCTATTATCTACAATATAGATTGATGTTTTACCACACGGGTGTGCCGCTGCTGTGTTTCTTTTGCAGATGGAGACCTCATGTTTCAACAGGTTCCATTTGTGGAAATGGATGGCATGAAGCTTGTTCAGACAAAGGCAATCTTAAACTACATTGCAGAGAAGCACAACCTTCATGGAAAAGATCTCAAAGACAAACTCATGTAGGGTCCATTCTTTAGAAGAGTCATTACAAGAGTCTTCTTTTACATGTGATTTTAGTTGATGAAGGTGTCAATGCTTTCCCTCAGGGTCAACACCCACTCAGAGGGATTGATGGATCTCATGGAAATGATCATGACTTTGCCCTTCGCCGCAGATGTCAAAACAAAACTGGACAACATTCAAAATAAAGCAAAAGACCGCTACCTTCCTGTGTTTGAAAAGGTACCACCATGCTTACTTTAAATAAGTGTGATCAAATAACAGTTCAAGCTTGGTTAAAACATTTAAAATTGGAAAATGTATCTGTTAATTTGTATAATATATGAAAACTAAAGTATGCGTTGTGTACATCTCAGGCTTTGAGTGGGCCCATATACCTGGTTGGAGGTAGACTGAGCTGTGCAGATGTGCAGCTGCTCGAATGCACCCTGATGTTGGAGGAGAAATTTGCTGGCATCCTTGCAGAATTCCCCAACCTCAAGGTAAATTTGAAAAAGAAACACACTTTATAATACTGCAGGTCCTTCCTTCCTGCAGCGGTCAGGTCTAACACACAACAAAGACTATAACACCCCATTTTGTGCAAAACGACTTATGTGCAATTAATATACCATAAATAACCGTGCAATATATACTTCCACCTGGCTGCTATCTCAAAACTATACTGGTACTGGATGTGTATTTTGTAAATTGTGTAATTTCTACTTTTATTTTAAATATTTGTATGCATGCTTCCTAATTATATTAAGCTATCTTTACTTACTGTAACAATGTACATTTCCTCCTCTGTGGGACGAATATAGGTATTCTGATTCTGAAGACTGAATTTAAGTAGAGAAACAACAACAAATCTTAACTAAGAAATCCCAGTAAGTTGATCATTATTATAACAACAATGCACTGATTGCTTTTTCTTTGATTCCTCCAGTCTTTCCAGGGCAGGATGACCAGAATTCCCGCCGTCAGCAGGTTCCTGCAGTCCGGCAGCAAGAGGAAGCCGCAGCCAGACGATGTATACGTGAAAACCATCATGGAGGTTTTCGACATCAAATCCCCGTTTCTGTGAACTCTGTCCTCCTCTCACAGGCAGGGTGAATGATTGATAATGCAAGGACAGCATTTTGTCCACGAGGATCGACTATATTTCAATACTTCACTAACCATCACGAACGTTAGCATTAGCTTGACTGGAATCTATGTAGTTTGCACTGAATAAATATTTGACAAACATTTAATGGCTGCTGTGTTTCTTTGTTCCGTGTTCATTCAATGACAGGATTTGTATAATATCCACAGTTTACATAAAAAAACGTCATTATTTTAGGATTTGTTTATTTTGTTTTTCCATGAATACAAAAATCACTAACTTATTGACAGTAAATATCATTTGAAGTTAAAGACATAGCATGTCTTCAAGAATACATATTTTGGCGTCCCTTTTTCTGTAATTTAAAACCATGATAGTATTAGCAGCCAGCAACACCGAAGTTGTAGTGAATAGTTAGCCCCCTGCCAACATAAGCTCATGTACATCTGCTAATCTTAGAGCATGACATTTACATTCATGCACATATAACACAAGAAAAAGCAGTTATTTATATAAGATCACCAAAGCAGACTTACTGCACTAATATACAGTATGTTGTTAATCTTAAATCTGGTGACTTTTTTCTGGTCACATGTTAGTTAAGTAATGATACCAAACAAAAGGCTTGTTTTAGTATGCTGGGAATGCTGTTCATTCAAACAAGGCTGGTCCATTGATAGAGAGAGAGTCAGTCCAGTTATTCCTCCTGTCACATCATGAGGGATAGTAACAGCCGAAACACCATCAACAAACTGTAAGAAAGAGACAGCAAATCAAAAAGTAATACATCATTGTCTGATATTTTTATAATGTTTTTACAATATAATAGTAATATTATATAAATAGAAAGAATATATATATATAAATTGTGCAATACCTAGTCCTGGTTATATACATTTACATTCATTAATTAACTTGTTGTCATGTTTATCAAGTTTGAATCACACCTTAGCCCTGACATGATGCCAGCAGGCAATAGTTTCCCAGATTTCTTGTATCTCATTCCCATCAGGACCGAAAGGGCTCCAGCAGTTACTGAAAGTAAGAAAACACCATGAACTAAATTCAATACTCTGATTTATATTTGTATTTATTTGGGACATGCTCAGCTGTACTCACGCAAAGAGACCTTGATGTCCTTTGGGTCATAAGAGATGTTGAATGCACCATAAGCAGAAAACCCACCAAAAACTAAACCGGCCATCAGGGACATCACGCTGCCTACAATCACACGGAGACACACAATGATTATCAGGGCTCATTTTTTACCTGACACATATTTTTCGTAAAGATTTCTGCCAAAATGAAAAGGGTTTAACCTTTTCTCGAGTAACCCATATATCCTCCATAGGCGATGGCGAGAGCATAGCCAAATCCAATCCAGTCCACGGCCATCTCAAAACTAGGAACAAGTGCAGTACAGGGTGAGGTACGATTAGTAATAATGTTGAATTAAGACTTTATTTATTTTATTTTATTTAATCGTTTATTTGGCAGGGACAATGCACAGTAATGAACACTTAAAACATTAAAATGTATCAAGCGTAACAGTGCCAGATTTAACTTTGAGCTAATTTCCATCCGCAGTCCCTCACATAAAACATTTAAGAAAATTACATTTTACAAACATCGCAAAAACAAAATACATGATATGCAAAAAGTGCAAGAGAGCAAGAGCAGCATACACAAGTATTTACCACATGGCAATACAATATAGCAGCTACGACATATAAAGTTCAAGAGAAGATACAAGAGCTACATAAAGTGCAAGAGGAGATACCCCTGTGTTAAAGTGCATTTAGCGGTGATTGCACGTCTGTTTGTTTCTCAACCATTCTCTGAGTTGACCTTTGAAGCTATTAAGAGTGGGACAATCCCGTATCTCAGTTGGGAGGCTATTCCAGAAAGAGCTGCCTTTAATGGAAAGGACATTTTGTCCAAAAGTGGTCCGTACGGTGGACTTCACAGTCTCCTCTGGTTTCTGACCTAGTGCAGCGTCCAGTGTGTTTTTTGTGGATGAATTCCCCTAAGGGAGGGGGGGCCAGTCCATGTAAACATTTATAAAAAAAACACATACTTTTAAAAGACTTAAAATGGTCAAAACTCAAGAAATTGTGTTTTTCAAGGATGGTACAGTGGTGGTATGAATTTGGCTTTCTGTCAAACACCTTGATAGCTCTCTTGTACAGCTGTTCTATGGGCAGAGTCCAGCAGCCCAGCAGAGTCCCGTACAGCCAGGTCCCCACGTACACCTTCCTGCCGCTCTCCGTCAGCAGCAGCGGCAGTGTCAGCCCCCCCAAGATCACCATGGACGGGAGGGTTTTAGAAAGGCTCAGAGGAGAATGTTTGCCTTCCCCCGGGAACGTGCGTATTTTGTCTGCATCCTCCGACTCGTAGAAGTCCGTCAGCAGCCTTTGAAAAGACAGATAACTCTCTTAGGAATTCAGCACGTCTCAGAAAAGCACAAGGGTTAAAGAGGAGGTTGCAGAAATGTGTCCGGGTTAGGATTTCTACAGCAGTTACAGCACAAAAACTGCACCCAGACCCCTGAGTGATTTTTGTGGATTGATTGGTGTTGGGATCAAACTTAGCACACTGAATATATGAACGACAACAACTTTTATTTCATTCCACTTCTGTTCTTTACGGTCCATATCAATGATTTCTGGACTTTTTATGTCAAGCCCCTTGAGTAAAACAATCTTAGGGTCGCAATTCATTATTATTTTTATCCTCAGATAAATCAGAGGATTATTATTTTGATTGCTCAACATTTTGTGTGATAAATGCCATTTTATATACCAGGTTAATGAATTCTAATGTGTTGTTTTGTCTGAACAGTCTAGAGTCAAAAGGCTTAGAAGAATTAGAAAGGCAGAACATATTCATGTTGGCTGCAACAAGAATAAGATTAAGTATTTATTCCATTAACTAAATGACTTAAACTATAAATAGATTTATTTATTAGCTTCAGATTCATCCAGCAACCACTTAAGCTGCAATTCTATCTGCCATTAACTATTTTTGGCAAGCCAACTTATATTTGAATATAATATTTAAAACACGTCCTTTGTTTATACCAATGTTACTGGCCCCAGAATCACAGGTCTATACAAAAAGGGAACTGCATATACACAGATTTAAAGAATGAGTTAGAAGACGGTATTATTTTTAGGATATGTTTTTGAAGCCGAGCTACACATCTGTGCATAACACTGGTGGTGTGCGGAAGCAAAACATGTAAAAACATAACTGCAGTTCACTTATTGATTGAATAACATGCAATTTCAAGATGATTAATTGTTCCACCCACACACACACATACACACATACACACTTACCGGTCCTTGATTTCAAACCGCTCATGCAGCCACCTGCGGAAAAACAGTGGCTCTGAAGGAATTTCCTTTATGTCCACGCGGTCAAAGTATATGTGGACTCGGGGACATTCTTTGCACAGGAATTCTGTCAAACACAGAAAAATAAAGAGACTAAACAAAAACAGGAAAAGCCTTTCAGCAAAACGGCACGTAGAGTAAGCACTTAAAATCAACACGAGGTGACAGTGATGGAGTGGAGCTGCTGGATGTGATGCCAAGGCACTTCGATTCCAGAGAATAAAGGCCGGGCACGAACCACTGCCTGTTGGTCACTCCGGTGAACCACAGTTTCATAAGTGATTCATAGCCCAATACGTATCTCATATCTAATATAACATCAGAGGAAAGGTAGAAAAGTCAATCAAATATCAAATAAACGTATAAGTGATTATTTGCATGAGATAAAAGTAATTCAGTTTCAGCATCACCTGATAAATGATTGTATAGGTCTTAAAGGATTTTATCTTATTTTATTAATCTAATATGTTTCAATAGCAATATTTATTTTTACGTTGTTTTTTAAAATATTTTAATGGTTGAACCTTTATTAGAATTATGGTCTTTTTATGACTATTATCTTATCTTTTTCTTTCTGTTGTACCTATATGTTCACTTATGGGGTTTTATATTGTTGCATCGATTCAGTTGTCTTGTGTCTTATCTGTGGGAGAGAAATCATTATTTATTTTTATTTGTATTATCATTCCTTTTACCTCCTTGTGTCTATTAACCTGTTAAAATGTTATATTTTGCTGCATGTACCTACAAATAATCTGAGGGGAATTTCTTGTTTATTTTTTACTTGTGATGTGTAATTTTGTAAAGCACTTACATGTGTTGTATGAAAAGTGCTATCTAAATAAAGCTTTATTATTATTATAAAAGTTCCTAAAATAAATATGTATTGTATATTGAGTGTCAAGTGGAGATTTTATTCAAAGTGTCAGAGCCCTGAGCAGAGAAAGAAAAGTGTCCGAGGTCAGATATAAAAATGTAGCCAAGAGTGAACGCTCAAGGCTACACGTGAATCCCCCGAGACCTCAGAGTTCCTGTTTCCACAACATGCAATATTATCAGGAAGCCTGGCACTGCGGCCAAAAGAGGAAACTTGATCGAAGTCAGCAGCGAGAGATTGCTTCAGCGGCGGAGAGAGCGCCTCAATCAGCTGTGAACAGATTTCCATCGACCTTCAGAGGCAATATGGGCCACTTTAATAAACACTGCGCGAGACGGAGTGTGTGTGCACGGAGGATCAGGAGCAGAGACACACAAAAACAGGATTTATTTTGCAGGATCACTCTTAAAAAGAAAATACTACACTCAGCGTCTCGACTGCAAAACAATGTTCCAAAACACTTTAAAAACAACCGCCTGGAATAAAGAAAGGAAATCAACATGTTGCTCTGTAGCCGCAAACACTGGCTCCTGACCCAAACCTTTCTTAATAAACTCTAGTCAAGCTGAAAACTCATCAACATCTTTCATATTTTCAGTCGTCTGAAGACAACGAGGAGAACAAACTGCTACTAAAGTCATGCAGGGAGCTCATTCTATCTTTTAGTTGGTCCGTCAGAAAGACTTTCATTTGCTTTAACGTTGTAATGCGGACCAAGGACGATACAGTTTCATTTGAAGTGGGTTGAAAAAAAATGACAAAGAGCCAATCTATGATTTTATAACCTCCATCGGCCACAGAAATATAAATATAATGTTTGAACTTTCCCAAAAATGTACCGTGGTTTTATGGTTGTTCAGAATATAATTTATTATTTAACTTAGAGAAAAGGGATTCATTTGTTACAATAGTTTAAATAATTATAATTGTTTACTTTGTTCAAACACCAATCTGCTACTGGTCATATCAGTAGGGTTAAAAATGCTATATTACGATAACGTAGCATTTACTGTGCCCCTTTTTCAAAATAATTAACCGATTGTACATTTTTAACACTTCCAATTATCAGATATGACAATGTCTTGATTTTCTTAAAGTACTATACACTGTACCGGCACATAAGTTGAAATGGTTAAACCTGATCATAACGAAGAGAATGGTTTGTCGGATGTGAAACTCAGATGTTGGACTCATGTAGCTGCGGTGTGAACGCGGCCTCGAGTCACTTCCACTTCCTTGTGAAATCACTAAAATCACCTTCGCCACCACATGAGACCAGGAAGTGCGTGATGATGAGAAGAATGCTTTTCTTTCTCTCTCTTGTTTGTTAGAAACACATCGTCGATGTTTATTCCTGCCTGAAACGGGATGTTTTTTTTTTAGACATTCAAACAGATCTCCTCTAACAACAGGGAACACAAAATAATCAAAAGTCATGTTGTTTACAGGAAGACGCTGCTGTTAATAGGTAATGTTTTCTGTGTGATTAATTACTGAGGGGTCAAACACAATGTTAGAGGAATAATGAAACGACGCCTGTGCGTCAATGGCTGCAACATCGGGAGATAAACGCAGATTAGCCGATGATGTATGATTTTGAAATCTGGTGTGAAATGCAACTTGTAACTTTATGAAGGAAATAGAAAACAATACAGTCCCTGCACTAATTCATATTATTTACACATCATTTCTAAAATCCTAGTTGTCTTCACACCCAGTTTTAATGAGTAAATGACGTTCTGTTGATTCCACCAGCACTGTAATTAACTTTAATACTAAATTAAAGCTGCAAGCAGCGTTGAGCGGGTCTTCGACGCTCCGCAGGCTGTTGTCCGCACGTCGAGGTGTGTGTGTAGGTGTCTCGAGCTGTTGAGGGCCGGACCATTAACTGTCATCTGAAGTCTGGTGCAGTTTGGAACCTTTTCCATTAGCCGCGTTCACACCGGAGTACTTTCACCGTACTTTTCGCGTTTTAGTTCCGTGAGTCGCGTTCACACCAAAAATCGTACTTAATCTCGGGTACTTTTACCCCCATTTTTAGAGCCAACTCAGAGAGCGTACTTTTCTGTGGGTGAAAAGTTCTCCAAAAGTGCCCCAGTGCTGATTGGCTGGGCGAATTGCAAACCACGCCCGTACAACTCTGAAAATGTTGTGTAGAGCCGCCATTGTTTTTCCTCGCTACAAAAACACAACGCTCCGTGCGTTGTGTTTGTTTTTGAAAGCAGTTATGGCAAGCATCAAGAAATGATGAGGAGGTGTCGGCGCTTCTGGAGATCTACGCAGAGGACGCGACCCAGGGAATGCACTGAAGCCAGTTCAGTAGCTTTCACTCGACCTGGGAATGTGCACAGCCCCACGGCACACCGGCTAAAAATAAAGAAACTCGGGCAGGACTACAAACGGCGGATTCAGTGGCCAACGATGACGACCACGACGAAGGTAAAATCAACTACATGCACTGGGGTTTTAATCTGCACAATAATGGTCTCAGATGTACTTTTATTTGCTCAGTAGATCAAGCTAGCCATGCTAGCCATAATAGGCTAACACCGGCCCCGAGCACACAGTACACACACACTGTAACTTTGTCTTGAAAGAACGTTGCGCATCGAACTGATGTTCACAATCATGTTTATTTCATAATATTCATCATATTTTATGTTTAACTTGCCTCAACAACATTAAACAAAGTTCAAGCATACATGAAGCACTCTTCAAAAAGGAACAATCCTCCGTGTTTGAACCTCTTAAATCGCTGCATAGCCGATTTATTTGGACTGGATTATCCCAGAGGGTCTAAACATTCTTTATAACACAGTTTCAGATTTGTGAAACCTTAATTCTATTTGTGAAAATACAAAAAACACATTCCTAGTATGTTGTAAAACTACATGGCGACTAAACTTGTATATTGTATATTGCTTATTTTCCCCTCTTAGGAAAGCGGACACGGGATGCGAATTTCTTTGACACCGCCCAGGCGTTGGAGGACCGGCGTGCCGTGGTGAATGAGTCGCTGCGTGGAGATCAGATGGTGCTGTTCACCAAGGCCCAGGAAACGGAGGACAAGATGCTCACCTCGATGGAGCGCCAGGCAGAAGTGTTCAAGCAGCAGATGGAGCGCCAGCAGCACCAGGATGAAGTGTGGGCGCTGCGCCATGAGGAAGCGTCGGCGCAGCGGCAGGATGAGCGACAAACTGCATTTAATAACAGTTTATTTGGTATAGTTTTTGTAAATACTGACACACGACACACAACGTTGCACTAAGGTGTGCATGCTGCTGAGACTATCCCTACACCTGGGACAGTTTATTTTATATTGTTATTACTGTTATGACTTTATTTTATATATAATGTTTACTGACATGTACAACTGACACTTTATTTACATTTAAAATTGTTCTATTTAATGTTATGTCTTGAGAGTGCAATAAAGAAAACCGACATGGCGGTTAAGCTTATTTCTCCTGACACTTTATCTTTTGTGACCTGTGTAGCATCCTATACATCACATGTAAGTGATTATTCTGATACCATCATGTTTCATCGGTTATAAACTGGCAAAGCTTTATTTGTCATTTATTTATCATCAATGTTGCAACCTTGTGGGGGAATGGCAGGGGCACATACACAAATATGACAATTTATATAATTTTAAATATTATTTGACCTAAACTTTTAATTCCCCCCCATTTCACACAACACAACATGGAGTCCACTATGGGCCAAAACTAACATGTATGTTTGCATAGTGTTTATGGCAGACGGATGCAGTGGGTCTCAGGAAGATATATAATAAAGGTGGGTTTGCTGCTGAGACTCCCTACACCTGGGAGTTTATTTTATATTGTTATTACTGTTATTATATAGTACAACTGACACTTTATTTTATATTGACAATGTTTACTGACATGTACAACTGACACTTTAGTTACATTTAAAATATTTCTATTTAATGTTATGTCTTGAGAGTGCAATAAAGAAAACCGACATGGCGATTAAACAGATCCTGTATCAGTTTTTCTTCTTCTCTTGTTTTGTAGCGGGTTGCAAACAACTTTAAGGTGCTTACCGCCACCTACTGTACTTGTAATCTTCCCTCAGGGAAAAGTACTCCGGTGTGAACGCGATCTGTACTAAGTACCCTGGGGTTAAAAGCGCCAGGGCTCTTAGTGCCGGAACTAAGTACAGGAAAGTACTTGGTGTGAACGCGGCTATTGGCAGTCCGAAAAGTCGCCAAAAGTCCCTAAATGACGTCATCGCCTAATTTGCATATCATGTAATGGCGGTAAAAAAACGTTCCACCCCCTTCAAGGATCAAAACTTGAAACCACCAGAGTAAATCCAGACGACAGTAGATCAAAAATGTCTCTATTAGAAAAAGTAGAAAGTAGAAATTGTTTTAGTAGTTTTTAGTAGAAATCTCCCTTACAATAAAGGCAGTATAGTATGCCCGTGTGTCATCTCCAATAAATGGCTTCAACCATCCTTTAAAATCAGGGTTTGATTCCCACTCCTTTCTGTACTTTTGTGAATAGGCTACAGTTTAGACTGTGACATGATGACCTACGTGGATGTTTAGCTTGTCACAGAGGCACACACACAGTGGACGAGGTGATTAAGTGACTGAGGCTGTGTGAGTCAAAGCAAAGGAAAGGCAGTTATTTATGTGTGACAGTGACAGTGAAGAAACATTTACATTTTACATTTAAATCCCGCTCATGCGCAATTCATTTGCCGTCTCGACGCGGGAGAGTGTGGCTGTCTCCTCTCTGCTCTGACTGCAGCTGAGCTGCTGCGGGAGGCAACTGTGAGTCTGAGCGCCTGTGAGTACTATGGGAGGGCAGAGGGGCTCACGGCAGCACCCGCGGCTCGTTAACTGCTGAACAATATTTGAGTCTCCAAACACCAGAAAAGTCCCTAATAACACCATTACAAGTCGTTAAATTAGTCGTTAGTCGCTTTTGACAAAAATAAGTAGCCGGAGGGTTTGGAAAGCCGCCGAATTTAACGAGAAAGTCGCCAAGTTGGCAACACTGCCCCCTGGCGCTGGAGGGCTGAATACCCAACAGGACATCTGACGTCCGTAAAGATCTAATAACAGAGTTTTGTTTTTGAATCAACTTTTTTTATGAAAAATCTTTTGTCATTTCCCTTTTCCAGGAATCTCAACAGAGAGAGTTTGTCCAGACTAAAACATTTCTAATGTTAAATAAATGAAAACCATTCACAGTTAAGAATGAGATATTAATTATTAATGCCATTGATGCAGACATTCAGAAGTTAAATCCATTTCTCACTTAATCTAAGAATGATCTTAACCCACTCAAAGGATTCTCAAATAATCAGGAGTTACGTTGTGAAAACAATAACTCATCTCTCTCAGATTAATGTGCTCAGGTTTTTCATGACTGGATATATAATACATACCTTTTCCAAAAAACACTATTATAACTAAAGGGAAATATACTAATGTAGAATAAATAATAAGCTAAACTTTATTTTTTTGGAAGGAGTATTTAATATAATTGCTCTGAGAGGGAAAGGAAACCCAACACAACAAACCCTAATGATGAAATACAAGTGTTCCTGTAAGGCAGGTTTATTTAAAGCTTCTTCAACACAAGGCGATTCAAAGTGCGTTACACAACTGAAAGACATTAAGAAATAATGCAGCAGATCATTCAAAAGCAGAGGGACTAAAATAAACATGAAACTAGCTGATATAGAATAACTCAGGTATACAACACATGAATAACAGTTACTGTGCATCGTGAGTTAAGAATAGTTCAGTTCAAAGCAAACAGGGAAGTCTTCAGTCTGGATTTAAAAGGACCTGCAGGTTTCTGGGGGTTTGATCCAGATATTTGGAGATGAATAACTGAACTTCTCCAGGTTTAGTTCTGGAACAGAAAGCAGACCCGTCCCAGAAGACCTGCAAATAATTTTGAGGATGTAAGCTTTAAAAAACAGGGTTTCTAACGGAGTCTGGTGAACAGATAATGAATAAGAGTTTATACGCAGAGTTATTTAATGTAACTGTAAACTAGACTCACCTTCCACTCGTCAATAAGTCAATAAAGATCCTGGAGCTGATTTTCTACAAGAATTCTATCAAAATAAACAATGTTCCAACTTCTACATATGGTGATGTACATTTAATACATACATCACTGTTGTAATGTTTGTGAAAAGCTTTAGGAGATTTTTGGGATAAATCCTGAATGAATTCAATGATTTTAAAAGTTTAGTAGATTTTCCTGAAATGTGAAAGAAAATGGCCAAAATTACAACTTTCTAATTGTTTAACTTCAGTATATGTTTTCTTTGTATCTGCATATCTTCTTTGTACTGAGCATTAGCTGCTAATGCTAATAGACCACTGCTTCAGAAATAAAGGGAATAATATTGCATGTGCACGATATCAGTCAATACATGATTGAATGTAATTACACTGAGTTCAAAACATGGCGTTCCTCAGGGAAGCGTTCTGGGTCCTCCACTGTTTCAGAACTGATGCTCCGTGGTGACAGCAGACATGACATCATCGTAGTCATCGTCCAATCCCTGCTCAGCGTGGTCGCTTCCTGTTGTCAGAAAGAAAATGTAGAAAACGTATTAAGAGTTTTGGTGGATGTTAAATCCCTTTAGATCAGGGGGGTCCAAACTGTTTTCACGAGGGCCGCATACTGAAAAATAGACGAAGGGCTGGGCCGCTCACTGGAGGTTTATTACCTCGTAAGTTCAGTTAGTAAAATCAATCAAATGTAGGTACATGATGCTTGTGAGTGTTTAGCTCATCCCTTAAAGCAGATCCTCAGATTGATTATAATAAGAGGAAATATGAAGGTTTATTTCAAGCTTGTTGTGGAAATAAGTCATTGGGCTTTTTTCTTATCAACTAAGATTTGTTAGAAAATGTTTCCAACTTTAATTGACTGAATGTATTTGAAAAGTGGTCTCATTAACACATGAATACTTCTGTGTAACATATGTTTACATTTATATTTAAGAAGTACAATATAAGACAAGCACAAGTTTAATTTGTGCCATATTCCATTATACATTATGAATTTGCCGAGGGCCGATTCAAAATGGTCCGCGGGCAGCATTTGGCCCCTGGGCCGTAGTTTGGACACCCCTTATTTAGATGTAGAAACTGAGAGAAGTTACCTCTGGCCCTCTCCCGATATATAGACACCATGAGGAAAGTGGAGATGCAGTACGGGCAGAAAACCACCAGGTGGCAGATCACCCTGAACACAATATGGAGGAAGCGGGAATGAGGTTGGGGTGTGGTCGGGTCCATGGTGGATGGAGGAGGAGAGGAAGTAGGCGGGTTCGTAGTATTGATGAGGAAACAGAGAGGCTGATCTTACCAGAGACGGTGATGGTGATGGTGTTACTGGTGGATCCCTCAGTGGACTCACACCAGTACTCTCCACTGTCCAAAGGGTCAGGGAAGCTGATGTTACAGGAGGAACCAGCAGGTCTTCCCCAGTCTTTACACTCAGCTCTGTTATCAATGCTCGTGTTTCTCCTCACAGTCCATCCATCAGAGTTGTCCTCACATCTCAGAGACATACGTTCGTTTTCAAATACCTGAGAGCTGCTGGGAGTCACCGTCAGACGAGCTGCAGGGAGTTATTGGATTCTGAGTCAAACTTAAAAAATAAAACTCGTCCCAGAATCTGGTACGGACTGGTTTAGTGACTGCAGGCGTTCAGGCGTCAGAGTGTTCAGAGACAGTGGTTTCATCACGTTAACAAACACTCAAACAGGATCAAATATTCAACTCAATATAGTTTAGTGAGCAGAAATAAATGTAGCCTTTAAAGCATTCTTTGAAAAAGAGAATGTCTCTGTGTCTTTGAGAAAGAGAACCAGCAGCAAAGTGTTTCCTCCTGAGAATCTAAAGGTTACTGACCTGCGTTTGTTGAGCAGCAGAACAGGGAGCTCAGCACTGGAGATCAAACACAACACTTTATTAGTTTGAAGTGATTACATTCAAAACAGAAACACGAGTCCTGCATTCAGGAGAGAGATATTGTTGATCACTTTTTCACTGTTTCTATAACATTTAAACCCCATTTGTTCTCATCTATTAAACATGACCCTTTATCCCTCTTTCATATCTGGAAGTATTAAATGTGTTCAGGGTTACTCACGGAGCAGGAGAGAAGTGTCCTTCATTCTGCTTCTTGGTGCAATGAGATCAACTCTTCTTCTTCCTCTTCTTCTTCTTCTTCTGTCCGAGCCGTAAAACCACTTCCTGTTCCTGCTCTGAAGAGATAGCCTAATGTTAGCTTTAATTCAAAAATCATAAAGTGTTAATATGTGAGATCATCCTGATGAACTAAACGTTTGTTTGACACAGAGATTATTTTCTGCTATAATCCAAAATCACATGGAGGAATCCCATTGGTCCAGAGAGATGCTGCCTTCAGGGAACTGTCATTGGACACAATTTTGGAAAAGAGAATTTCAGAACAAACTTCTTGAGAGGTGAATCGATTACCCACGTGTCACTAACTCTGTCCGAGGCTAAGAAAGCATTCTTTCCTTCTTTTTGTTTTGCTCGATCAAGAACAGACAGTAACTAACTTCATGTACTGACATACTTCTGTACTTGAGAGAAAGTGTGTGTTTGTACTAACCACAGACTGTCTGTTTGACATCATTGTGAGTGTGCTGGAGCAGCTACATGTTAGCTTAGCATACACGTATGCGACAGTATCGAGAAACAGTGATGATGCCAACTACCTTTTTATTCATAGATTATTGTTAAATATTTCATGTATTTATAAGAGACCCCTTATTTTGTGGTATTTTTCAATTGAATTCAGCTTTTTTATTAATATGTAGGCAGCAGCAATGTGCAGTCAGGGGAGACAGGGCCTCACCTGTCTTACTCCAATGTAACGGAGAAACAACTAAAGAAAAACTAAATAGTAATAATAATAAAATGTCTCCACTGATCTGTGTTGTAAGTGTGTATTTATGTATGATTCCAATCGCTTTTTATAGTCAAAATCAGCAAATTGGCCGAGCTCCGTTACGGGAGCGATGAGAAGTGAGGCAGGGACGTGCTCTGCCTCTCGTAAGCCCACAGTAACTTGCTGGAGCGCGGGCACTAATGTAGCGCGGGCACTTATTTTGTGAGCGTGCTCAAGCCAGTTACTGTGGGGTAAGGTGAGGCACAGATGAGATCTGCCTCACCTCAGAATGCGTCACCCCACAGAAACTGGCTGGAAAGCGGGCCCTAAGCGCATACCTGTTCCCATCTCACTGTAGGTCACCAATGTAATGTTTGTAGATCCCTTTATTACATTTATCCTCGCCATCCATAGTCTCTAAATAACTTATTTCACGTATATATGATATTTAGGCTCGCTGGTCTCATCATACAACGGCAATGAAAAAAGCACCAGGAGAGGCAGCCATAACCTCTGCCGCACTGAAGGGGGCGCACGTGAGCCCACAGGTTCTTGTTGCTACTGTTATTCTACCGCAAACAACAAACTAGACTTTTGAAACTACAGGAAGATAAGGAGGACTTTAACAATAAAGTAATAGAGATTGTTGTCCAGAAGGATAGCATGGACTTCATCTTCAAGTCAAGGTAAGACCACATTTGTAATGAAAATGGGATCTTACTAAGAAAGAACAATCCAATATTTAGATTTTGGGTATCCTTTTGTTGAACGGTCTGTTTAAAATGAATCGAAGCATCAGACTAAAAAAGCTTTTGAAAATAACCGAATATTTCGATTAAGGTCAAAATATAATATTTGTAAATCTGACTCAGTGAGTCAGTGCCTCACCAGCCATGAACCTCACCGCACGTCACTGGTAGGCAGTGTTTATATTTTGGAAGTATTCAGATGCTTGAGTTGAGTAAAAGTACCAATACATTATTGTCAAAAATACTTCAGTACAAATAAAAGTCCTGCATTCAAGATCTTACTGAAGTCAGAGTAATAATAATAATACATTATATTTATATAGCGCTTTTCTACAACTCAAAGACGCTTTACAGTATGAGGGAGGGTAGACAAACAATGGCAGGCAAAAATAAAGAAATCAAATAAAGTAAACAGAAAAGGCAGTCAAGAGGAAGTTGATTGAGAGTAGTACCCCTCAATGCAGTGCGCAATAGAGAGGCGAAGTCCCTCCCCTTCCGGTGGGACTCATGGGACCTTATTTCGGAAAAAGTTTGTATTGAAGTCAATGGAGAGAGAAAGATTATCTTTCGATCCCGTTTGAATTGTGCCACGAATTACACATATGATGTTTGTCAATCTTAAATAATAATTTCCAAGTAAAAAAAGTCACAGTTTGTCGTAAAACTGCAATATAAGACTATGAAAAATAGGCAACTAGAAAGACTACAAATCCCAGAATCCCGGTCCCGCATGCTGGCTCTTACAGAACCGACTAACTCCCCTTGTGTGTATGTACAGCTCTCAACATGCCCAGACTTGTAGTGATTTTCACCTCTTTTAATACTTTCCGCCTCATTCTGAAAGAAAGAAGTGAAATGTGCCAACGTGACGGCCGTCTTGGTGTGTGGTGCGAGAAGGGAGATGTAGTTCATTGAGCGGTTTCACACACAAAAAAGTGTTACTTCACAGTTTTACGACACATTTTTATTTTTTTGACTTGTAAATTATCTTTTAAATTGACAAATATCGTGTAATGTGTAATTCGTGGCTCAATTCAAACGGGATCGAAAGATAATCTTTCTCTCTCCATTGACTTCAATGCATAACTTTTCCGAAATAAGGTCCCATGGAGGTCCACCGGAAGGGGAGGGACTTCGCCTCTCTATGCCTCAACGTCTCAACGTCTCAAAAAAAAACCCGAGGGCACCGAGCCTTCGCAGCAGCTGGCCCTAGGCTCTGGAACACTCTGCCCCTCCATGTAAGGTCGGCCCAGACCCTAGGGGTTTTTAAATCAAAACTAAAAACACACTTCTTCTCTCTGGCATTCTAGCTAGAGCGGAGCATGACTCCTGACTTTTCCGTGTGTGTTTTATTCTTATTTTGTTTTTTAAGTTATATCTGGTGTAATTTATTGTCGTTTATTGTGTTTTGTAGTAATGTGTTTTTATTACATGTACAGCACTTTGGCTCGACCAAAATCGCTTTTAAATGTGCTTTATAAATAAAACCTGATTTGATTTGATTTGAACGTGGGCGGAGCTCAAGCTTTCTCAACCTTTGAGTCACGTGACGTCCCGACTCCCGTGTTGTGTATTTACCCAGTCACAAAAGTAACATATTATATCTTATATTATTAATATATATATATAATTCTGATGTCTGTGGTTATTTAAACATTCCCTGATAAACGTTATTTCAGCGTCAATAAATGAGTGTTAATCCCAGGGCTAACCCGAAATGAAGACCTTTCAGAATAAAAGTGTTAAGTTAATAGTTAGTGTGAACTTCCGTTTTTTTCAGAATAAAACTGCTTTAAATTAAAACCCTGTATTTAATTTAAATTACGTCATATCAACATTGATTTTAATTTCTTACAGTAGGAGAGGTTTTGGGGTTTAGGTTTGGGATGGAGGAAGGAAGATTAGGATTAGGTAAAAAGGTAGGGAGTGGTTAGGGTTAGGATGGGGGGAAGGGAAGGGTTAGATTGAAGGGAGGGAAGAGAACTGCTACCGGGAAACAGGATGCAACGCGTCATCTGTGAAGCTCTGCCCATGTTGAGCTCCCGCCCACATTGAGCTCATTGAGGCATTGCGCACTGCATTGAGGGGCTTCTCGATTGAGAGGGGAAGGGGGCTTATGAGAGTTGAAGAGATGGGTTTTGAGGCGGGACTGAAAGACTGTGAGGGACTCGGAGTCACGAAGATCTTGGGGGAGGGAATTCCAGAGCCTAGGAGCTGCCACTGAGAAGGCTCTGTCCCCAAAGCTGCAGAGTGTGGATGTGGGGGTGGATAGGAGTCAGGCTGCGGTGGGTCTGAGGGACCGTGGGGGTTGATAAGGAGTGAGAAGGTTTGTGAGATAAGGGGGGGCCAAATGGTGGAGTGCTTTGTAGGTGAGGACCAGAATGTTGTAGTTGATGCGGTGGAAGACAGGAAGCCAGTGGAGGTCTTTGAGGACTGGGGTGATGCCATGGTTTGGTTTGCGTGAGGAGACGTGCAGCTGCATTTTGAACCCGTTGGAGTCTGTTGAGGGATGTAGTGCTGATGCCGTAGAGAAGTAAGTTGCAGTAGTCGAGGCGGGAGGAAATGAAGGCGTGGATTAGTCGTTCGGCTGCGGGGCGGGTGAGAGAGGGTCGGATTTTTGCAATATTGCGAAGGTGGAAAAATGAGGTTTTGACTGTTTGGTGGATGTGAGGTTGGAGGGAGAGGGTGGGGTCAAAGATTACACCAAGGTTGCGTGCCTGATTTGAGGGGAAATAGGGGTGCCATCGATGGTGAGTGTTATGTTAAGTGACCTTGCTGAGGGTGTATTTGGAGCCGATTAGGAGTTCTGTTTTGTTGCTGTTCAGTTTGAGGAGGTTATGTTGCATCCAAGTTTTTATAGCTGTCATACAGGAATCGATGTGGGTAAGGGGGGGGTTATGGAGGGATTTGGTGCTGAGGTAGATCTGAGTGTCATCAGCATAGCAGTGGAAGTCCAGGTTGAATTTGCGGAGTATCTGACCGAGGGGGAGGATGTAAATGATGAAGAGGAGGGGGCCAAGTACTGATCCTTGAGGAACGCCTATGTGTGCTGCTGTAGTGTTATGATGTACTTTATGCAGTACTGCTGTTAGTGAGTGTGCTGCAGAGCTCCCACCAGCAGGGGGCGCCTTAGAGTAGATTTATTTTTTAAATTCTTTTATTTAGCCTTTATTTATACAGGTGTAAAATCTCATTGAGACACAAGGTCTCATTTTCAAGAGAGACCTGTCAGTGGTAACACTACCACACAAAGTTACAGACAGACAGGACACTAAACACAGAGGCAACAATACAATACAACATCGTAAAAAGTAGTCATTGAAATCCATATACAGTAGTCAGATATAGCAGGTGCAAACACCCACAGATGATTTCTCCAGCTTTTTTAAAATTAGTTTAAAATCCGTGATGGGTATCAAACTGGTCAGCTTAAGTTCCTGCTGAAGTGTGTTCCAGGTCGAGGGGGCAGAGTACGATATGGCTTTTTTCCCAAACACCGTGCGAACTGAGGGGATCGACGGACAGAGTGATGTCATTTTGAGATCGTAGTCTATAGCT